ATGAGCTAACAGACAGCATGAGGGCTACCTATGTCTCTTTTCTGATTCATTTAGGTGTGCATTGTAAATAGACCTAAAACATCAGTCAATCATATCCACAGCCTAGCAGTAAATCATAGAGCAGATAATGTACACTTGCTATAGCACTAGAGAACGATCAATGATTTTTTTAGGAGTGCAATACTTAACACAAAGCATTGCACAAACTTGTTTACTCTTAACACGTGTAAAATGGCACCTAAAGATTTATTAAGCTCTTAAAGTATTTACAATTGATGACACCTTATATTTTGAACTCTTAATTGACCAGGGGCAGTAGATTCGTGGAGTATTTCTATAAAAGGTCATAGAACTGCTGCCTGCTTTACCTGCAGGGTCCCAAATGTTCTCCTATGCCAGGAATGAGCTGTCATTGGCTTAAAGAAAACCACATCTGTTTCAGTAAAAGTGTGTAATGCAAAAAAATTTCAGTCTGCACACTGCAAAATTTTGCACTGGTCACAAAGGTATGCAATAACCTTGTTCATGAAGGAGTTAATTTGATATTCTGTAATCAAGCATAAGCAGTAACGCCGTACAAATAGCAGTGGGTGGAGTGCCATAGCCATCAATCAGATTTCAGTCTACTACAGCCAGATCAATTGGAAATATGTTGGTTCTTTTGTACACTTCCTTGCAGATTTAACTGCAAACAGGTAAAATCAGTGTATGCTTTTTTAACCATTTCCACCTTACAGTTTGGACACAAAGTAAATATGCCGACACCATGCTGTATTATCTTTAGTGTCATGAATTTGTAGATATGCTCTACAATTAAAATGGCAGGAAAGTTAGAGTTTGTGACAAAGGTTAAAGCAAGAAACAGGAAGCTGCTGCCACCTAGTGGAAAATTTGTGTTTTGCAATTGATGCTAATTTTAATATGCATTGCAAGACACATGAAAGGTTAGTCAAAGCAACAATAAAAATTTATGAAAATTCAGACTAAGGGTCACCATACACCTTACAATCTGACCATACAATCTTTGTACAATCGATTTTAGATTTACCAAATATATGTAATATGTAATATGAGGACCTACCTAATCCATCCAATTAATTTGTAGATGGATTGTAGATGTTGTCTTCACTTTACTATGGTATGCTGGTGACTTCCTCCACAAATTCCTAATTGAGCATTTAAAAGCTTGCTGCCGGGCTTCCTGTTTTAAGGTTGCTCCATTGCCTTTCTGGGTTATATGGAGCCACCCTTGTGTGTGCGTTCCCAGCTTACAGTCCCTGCACTGTGTGTATCAGCACAAAAACACAGCTCTGAAGCCTAGGGATGGCAATGACTTTGCCATCCTATGGGACCAGCTATGGGACCTTAGCGGTTAGACAGGTTTGGCTGGTGAGTGTGATGGGAAACTTTTTGCTGTTCTGTTTAAAGTCCTTCCATGTGCACCTTACTTTAAAGTTGGTTATGAGTTGATGAGTACGTTTGCCATTCGTTTTGCTTATCCTATGGGACCAGCCCCATGTGACGTCGCCAGTCTGCTCTCTCCCCGATAGGAATTTCAGGGAGGCAGCACTAAAGGAGGAGGACATGGTCATGGGGCACCTTTGTTATATAGAAACTGAGTCACTGGGCACAAATATAAACTACTTATTTATTGGGGACATTTAATTTTGCTCATCAGGATGTATTACTCTCAAAATCTGCAAGAGGGTAGTACTACTGGGGTAGCCCCACTGCCAGGGTTAATTTCTGTAATAATGGCCCTTGGAACTAAGGGCCTGCGTCGAGATTGATTTTGATATTGTATGTTATATGTATATATTGTATGTCATGATATAGTACTCAATGCATATCTACAGACTTGGGTAAAACATAAGGCTCCATTCACACATGAGCAGTACATGCTGAAACACGCTAAACATAAAACACAATGCATTCCAATCTGCATTGTTCAGACTAGTGCGGTGTCCACGCGATATAAAACCACAAAATAGTCCAACTGTGATTTTAGAGGCAGATTCTGCGCGTTTGCGGCTATTACTATAGTTATGTGTATGTTACCGTTTGTGCGTTTTCGTGCCACGCAGAAAAGCTGCGCAGAGAACAAAAACGCCATGTGTCAATGGAGCCTTAAGCCGGTTCAAAATTTATTTTACCTGCTACATATTTTATGTGGAGTAGAGTCTAGAGATATACAGTATACGTATTTTGCATGCAGTCCAGTTTTAATTGCCTGACCATCAAAATTGCTAAATACATTTTTTCATACATAATTTCATGAAAGTTAATACAAAATTAATTTATTTTGTTCTATACCGTTAAAGCTCTGTGCTATGCCTCTCCCAGTGATATAAGATGCATCAGTCAAATTGGTTTCAAGAGACATGAATGCAGTAAACTGAACACTTGGACTTTGGAACAGGGTTGGGTTTTTATTCTCTGTTTAATATTGACAGTGTTTATGAAGTAATGCCAAGTGTGTTAAAGAAAAAAAAAGTCTGTGAACTTGCAATAAACTTTCAGAAACCATTTGTGGCATGGACTTTATTTGTATTCAGCGTGCCTCTCATTCTTCTCGTTACTGAATTATTTTTGTAGGATATCAAGGCAAGACGTGATCAGAAATCTTATCTTTCTAAATATAATGTATTATAACCTGCATAAGTATAAAACACTCAAAGGACTCCAGAGCTGTCATTAGAAATCTATGCAGCTAGAGGGTCACAGTCTAGGAGTATGGCAAGTTAGTGATCTGTGGCCTCATGTAACAAGTAAAGATGAAGATCCATAAGACTAGAAGCCAATGACTTAAAGGAGAACTATGAGGTGAGTGATTTCCACTCATCCTCATAGAGCCGACCTATGACAAAGAAGCTGTCACAGACCAGCTCTATTGATCGGGAAGTGAGCAGAAACATGCACTGATCATCTCCCTGCAGTGAGAGGTGACTGCCAGTCACCGCTACCTGCAGGGATTCCCTCCTCCCTTTTCCGATCCTTCAGCGATGACCGGAGGAACGAACAGGGGAGGGGGTGGGAACAGCTGGCTCTGCCTCTAGATAGGCAGAGCTAGCTGTCACTCATGCAGCTGGGTGGATCTCGACAGTATTGTCGGGATCTGTCCCGGCTGCGGCGCTCTCAGTAGCCCGCGATATACTGAGCTTTGAGTCACGGGAGGAGGTTAGTTTATGTCCTCCTGTGACCCTAAAGAGGACTATGGAGAAAAACACTTACCCCATAGTTCTCTTTTTAAAGCCTATTTAAGAGCCAAAGGGCAAAGCGGTTAAACCCATGGCAACAATTCAGCAGTCAGTTGCTGAGTCTGACTACAACAGACTCAGTAAAATTTAAGTCTGATTAGTTTCTGTGTCTGAGTGCACAATCACTCTGCCTTGTCATTTCTTAATTGCCGTGACAGGGGAGGGGCTGGATTCCCCCCTCCCTTCTCCGATCTGCCAGTGCTGACTGGCGGAACGGACGGGGAGGGGGCGGGTACAGCTGCCTCTGCCTCTAGATAGGCAGAGCCAGCTGTCACTCACGCAGCTGGGCGGATCCAGACATCATTGTCGGGATCCGCTTCAGCTGCGACGTCTCAGTATACCGCGAGCGAGCTGTAGCGGAACTATGGGGAAAAGCCTTAACCCCATAGTTCTCCTTTAAGCTACAAACCAGGCAAACATCTAAATACAGAGATTAAATAAATATAACAATCAGACTTCAATTTTGCTGAGTATGCTGTTTTACCTTCTAAAGGAATTGCATTTCTGTACATTCATTTCTTAGTTTTACACAGCCCTTCCACAGCCTACTGATTGAAGAGTGAAAGAGCAGCAGGAGACTGATGAAGCCATTCCTCCAAACTCCTCTCCTGTCAGCATATTTGCATGTAGCACACCTTATTGGCTCCCATTGCTGCCTGTACCCCTCCCAATCTGCCTCTCCCAATATGACCTCCCCAGATTTCCCTGCTTTTTGCATGGTATCTCAAACCTCCTTTTGCATTATACCATTAGGTGGTTCTAAAGGAACTCAAGTCCAGAGGTCAAATTGTCTCATTACTAGAGTGCCAGGACATAAAAGTATTCTACAGGGGATTTAATATGCTAGCCTTTCCACGTGACTGAAATATTAGTGTTAGGTGAAGTGACCTTTACCCTCCGCTGCCACCGCCATAATTGTTGTTACCAGCATTTGAACAAACTGTAGGCTGCTATAGATAGCTACTCCACTTCTTGGAAGAGTGATTCGGGTAACTGTAAAGATAACCAATCACTTCTACATTTATTGTAAGTTGCCGCAACCCGCCACCCCCTTATCCTCCCGCATAGGTGCCTGGGAGCTCCATTGCAGGTGTCAGGAGGGAAAAAGCAGCAGGAGATCGTCAAAAGAAGCATACTGCGCTCAATCAGTTTCAACAGAGTGGAGGGGTGACATTAGGAGTCTATCAGACCCCCAATGTCTCCTTAAGGAGAACTGTTCACCTGTACTATACTATCACATAGGGAGCTTACCAGTTCCCTTCTTGTAGAAATAAAGTAAATAAAATATCAAGTTTATTAAAAATAAATTTTAAAATGCTCCAAAAAAATGTCTAAAAGCCTCCCGCCCCATGTTCATGCACATATGAACACAAAAGCATCATACGTACTAGGTAACCCCATGAACACCAACGTGATGGCAATAATTCAAGGGACATTTTTCACCGATATCTCTAAAATGATGACCTGTAAAGGCTCTTATACTGAAAATATAGATGTGATAAACAGTAGCGTAATTGTCATGTGACAGAAAAATTGCAACTACCACCATTTTATTCCACAGGGTTTACGCTTTCACAAAATATATGTCTTGGGGTTTTAAGTGCGCTTAATGTAAAAAAAAACTCTGAAAATGGGCCTAAGTACCTAAATAAAAATATGGGCATCATGTATGATAAACTTTCTCATAGTTTGGTTAATCACACACATTTGAACACATAAAAGAGAAATGAAAGCATAACTAACCATATACACGTTGCCACCAAAGATACAATCCGGAAACGGCCAGGAAGTAAAATATTGCTCCCACTATTGTTTTCCACTCATTTGGTGATCCTTTCTTCATCTCTGCATAGGATAGGTCAAAGCTGATACGGTACACTAAAAGACAAAGGATATACATAACAATCAACACGTATGACTTCTCCAAATATTATTGCTATTGTAGGTATATGACCCAAGGCCTTTTTACACGTCTGCATGAAGTGGCCATCATCTAGTTAGATATTTTTTCACAAGCATATACAACAGTGTAAACAGCCTCTTTAGTGAACATGAGACATATAAAATGTTAACCTAATGTAATATTCAAATAAAAAAAATAAAAAAAAAGTTAATGTAACTACTGTCATTAGTTTAGCTAGAGCTGTGTATAAAAAAACAGACAACTAGTCATAGATACAATTCACTAACCAATATCAAGCTTTAATTGCTAAAATAACTGTTATTTTCAGCAATGACAGCCAATGAAAGCTGTAAATAATGATCATTATGGCAAACAAATAACATATGGTTTACCACTTAATAAACTGATCCTATCTAAAGTAAAGATTATAAAGCATTGCTGTCTATGATAAATGAAAGTGTCTATCGACATTTTGATGACTTCTTGTTGGCTTCTTGATTGCATACTTGCTGTTCTTCCATTGGCAGAAAAATAAGCAAAAGTATTAGTTGGCTAATACTAGACAATGGAGTCTTTTAAAAAAAAAAATAAATCCCAGAGCCATTCGCCCTGCAAATGAATGTTTATTCTGTGTGAATAAAGAAAAAAGTGAGTGTTCTTTGTATTTTTTTCTGTTTAGGTCAGATATTATGTAATATAATACTGCATTGTGGCCACTAGATAGAGCTTAGGAGCATAGGAAATAAATCGTTATTTCCTATGATCTCCACTACTCCATCTAGTGGCCATAATGCAGCATGACAGGACATTATATTACATTGACCGGAAAAGAAAATGTATCAAGAACATTAGCTTTTACCTCTATTTGCACAGAACAGACATTCAAAGAGATTCACAGGGCGAATGGCTCTATGAATTGTTTATAAATAGACCCAAAAGTGATTTTAGAATTGTAATTCTTCTTTAAGGTGGATGATTGTTTTACTCAAATGAGCTAAACAATGCTAAACTTTGAATAGTAAAATCTATTCTATGTATAATAATGTACAAATACATTTGGGAAAGAGCAAGTTACATACATGCTAGTTTCTCTTCTCTTGTCAGCTGAGTCCAGGATGCAGCTTCCTTTACTTTCAGAGCATTCTGCTGTGCCGTCAGCTCAGATACAAAGGGTGCATCAGGCAGTGGTTTGGCACGGGAATCATAGTACCTTGGTTTTGAGTAGTAAGGTACTTGGTCACTTGAAACATCTGCACAGAGCATGAAGAGGAATCAATGTAAATCATAAACAAAAAAGGAACAAGTGAAGATTCACTACGATATTCACGAACTTCACCTCATTCACTAATCTAAAGGAACATTCCCTTGCAAAGTAAGCAGCCTGTTGGCTTTTAGTAAACCAACCCCCATGGAGTCAATATAACATAAAATCCAGGAAATGCAAGTTCATAGATTATCACATTCTAGTCTGACACTGAAATTAAAATACGGAAACTTAGAGGACAGTGTTACAAATTCCTACACCTGTTGGTTAAATCCCAGCCCTATGTTGCTATCTAGAAGGGTCTGGCCAGGCTGTACACGAGCCAGTGTTTTTGTACCCAGGAAGGCACTGTAGAGCCTTCTGAAAGCAGAAAGGACAACTCCAAAAATAAAGGATTTAAAACTAATTTTATGCAAATCACTTCTTTTTGCCTATGGGTCAACTGAACTGCTGTGCTACACCATAGATACACTAATAATATAGATCTCTTTATTCCAAACTGCACAACACTCTTTCAGGTTTGTTGGTCAGCATCAACGCAGTGTATGTTCACCATGGCTTGTATGAAGAAGGGCTTGGGGAGCAACACAAAATCATACACAGTTTATGATGAGGTGAACTTAAAGTGTATGTCCAGCCAAAATTTGTCAGGTATTCTAATCTCTCCTTGCTCTATCCAAAACTAAAAGAAAATATTTTGGGTGGACATACGCTTGAAAGGAACCAAGAAAGCCATCTACTAAATCTGATCAAACCACAACATAACCATATTTAAGAGAGCTGCACTGTGCTTCTCAGTGGTTTCATTAGGGTTGCCACCTGTCCAGGATTCACCGGCGGCTGAAACCCGGACAAAAGATGTCAGGCAGGCAGGGACAATCAAATAATCAAATCAAATATAAGGTAGGGGCTGTTGGACCCACACTGAAAATTGTCTCGACTGTGATATTTTTACATATGAATGGGTGGCGCTATTTACATATGAATAAGCCGCAACTCATTCTCCCCAAAAATTTCTGTGCATCGCTAGAGTGTTTGGGTTTCGCTGGAAGAAAAGGTGGCGACCCTAGATTTCATTTATAGTTATTTTTAAAACTTATGTTCCATTTTTGCATTTTTGTCTTCTTCAATAAGGACTTTACTTACAGGAACACTGGCACCATAAAATAACCTGCTGCTGTTTTGTTTTCAGGTGCTGTTTTCCCATTGACCCCATAATTGTTTACACTTTGTCATATATTAAGTGCATATATTTTTTTTTCGTGAATTTTCAAAATGATGTTTCTGGTTTCTTAAATGCAGTGACATACCTTTCAATTACTTTAGTTTTTGTTATTTTATGTTATGATTGTATTTAATAACACAGGTTACCCTAGTAATGAATGTGATTTCATTTTTATGGTCATGTTTCCTTACATTCCTTTTAATCTGGGATATGTTATCTGACATGCTTGGTTGTCCCATATTTCAAGCTACTTGCCTTTACCTCATTTCATAATATATACTATTGACACACACACCAAAACCATTTTTTTCTCCACCTTGACAGTAATTTTACAACTTTGCTGCCCATAATTGTCTACACCTATAGAACATTTAAGGTATATGAAGACTGGTGTTCAAATACGCAATATCCATTGTTGAACATACATTTTTGTGTGCATGACCTTTGAATCATTATAAGTGAGAAAGATAAGTTTTATGGCAAACCTTGGCTTTATAGTACCTAGTACGGGGAGTAAACATTACAATTGTAAAAGGCCATGAGCAGTTTTACACAGGATTTCAGCTTAATTACTTTGCTAAGTCTGACAAGCCAATCTTACAGGGTAATTCACAAAAGGGTGAAGAGTTTGGAGAAGACAGGAGAAGTGAACAATCTAGGGCAAAATATCTCATTTGGAAAAATTCTCCAATTCAGCTCACTTTCCAGTTCAGTTATGTTGTCCTAGATTGTTCCCTTCTCCTGTCTTCTCCAAACTCTTTAGCCTTTTGTGAATAGCCCTGTAAATGTGGGAATGCCTTATGAAATAGAAACATGCATATTTAAATATGATATCCCTTGTATAACTGTAAACAATCAAATAATGCCATAACACATAATAATCAAGGTTATACCCATTATGTCATCAAGGTCAAAGGTGTAATGGCTTCAGAATTTTCTCCAATATTACTTTTTGGGGTGTATCTAAACTGCTTTGGACACTGATGCAAAATGTAAATAATGGAACTATGATACCTCCCTTATATAAATAAAATTCAGAGTATGTACAGTAGAAATGCCTCATTTAACATAGGTATCTATGAACCGGAAAGTACAACAGGACAAAATAATTCTGCTTTCCTGAATGAAGAAAGGAGTTGTGACTCTACAGAGGTAATGGTTGTTAGTTTTGCTAACTCTTGTTGCTATACCAATGCATCTTTTCCCAAACAATTTTTTATAGTTCATGCAGAAATAATTTAGCATTCCATCATTTTATTATTTTAAACATAAGAAAATGAAGGGCCCCATTACTTCTCTGCATTTGGTTGCATTGCAAAACCACATGAATGTTAATGTCTGTTGCGCTAAGGCTTGCCATGCCATGCCAACAAAAAATCTGCACTTTTTTTAGTTCAGCACACCACAATGCAGGACATGCCAAGCCAGCCCATCCTAAATGACTACATGGTAATGGACATACAAGTTTTATTTTTTGAACAGTGCACCACATTTCTCTGGTATGTGTGTTGTCATGAACTTCAGCATGGGTCCATTGGCACATACTATACTTGTGCATTATATATACATTATATCTTTACTAACCATGTGCAGACACGAAACTACTGGTGGAGAAACTCCTCCATAGAATGGATCTTGGACCACGAAGGGAGCGTGCAACACTTACTAACATCTATAAAAAGAACAGACAAATAATACATGCTTTTTAATTCATTAAAAATAACATATCTTTGTTATAATATATTCTGGTCTCAAATGTGAAAGCTTTATATTTATGATGCAAAAACTGTAGAACACTATACCTAAAACCTGATAGGTTTGGTTTTTCCTTAGCATGTTCCTGATGCTTTATGCTTTGTAAAGTTGTTTAGCAAAACTCATCATAGTGCAAGTGACTAGTTCAGCTATTGTAATCCTCGAGAGGTTTTGCAGAGCAAAGTCAAATGTGACCTTGTTGGAGACCACTTCTACTTTTCTTGGTAGTAGGTCTCATTTAATACAACTGCAACAAGTAGGTAGAATACAAGACATGTGACAAATATCTTGGCAGAAATCTATCTATCTATCTTGGCAGAAAGACATAGTCCATATTTTTGTGAAAAAAAAGAATAAATGCACACACATTGATAAAAGAATAAAATGTGGATTTAGAAATATTTTGCATTGGAGCCTGCTGAGCATTGCAACTGTGATCAGTGCATTGTGTGTGCAATGCAAAGGCTCCTGCAGAATCTTCTCCTAGCCCCAGGTCCATATGAAGGTATGGACCTACCATTATGGGGCTGGAGAAAGTCATTAATGAACTGCGTGTGCAGTGGGGTCCCCACACTTGTGGTCCAGTGAGATCTATGAATTTTTTTTTGCTGTGGTGGTAGATCGATCTGTGTAAATAGATCTGTGAATTCAGCAGGGTTGTGTATTGCTCAACCCAAACAGCCACACCAAATTCAGACCAAAACGAAAGCTCGTGGGGAGAAGCACCTTGCAATTCAGGTAAATTGGGGCAGGGGGGCATTTTGAGGATAGCGGCTCGGGGATATGATCCTAAATACAATGATCATCTGGTTACATGATCCCTGCTGAAGGACTGGTTTAGCCAATCTGATTGCTGATTGTCCCATTCAACAGAGGTCACATGACTAAAAGTATATGCTTTTGGTTATGTGAGCAGCACTGGAATAAAGCAGAAGCAGTATTAACTTCTGAAAACTGCATAGCTCTTCTATTAGGCCTTGTTCACATGGGCGGACAGAGGGGTCATAAAACTGCAAGGTTGATGTGTGGTTTTACTGCCCCCAAGCTGTCTACTGCAATGGTAGCACTGCGGCCGCACAGTGCTGATTACATTGTAGCGCCATGTCAAAAAATATACAGCATACCATGTTTGATAAACGGTGCCGCTTCTGAAACGTAACAATTGAAATTAATGGGACACACGTACGTGGTTGCGGCACTGTATTTCAATAGAGAGAAAAAAAATTGTATTTCAATGAAAAAAATGCATTCAGGAGGTGGCAGTATCGCTTCCTGAACACCAGGCAGCCACTGCTCTACCGTCCTCTGAAAAGTGATCCACGTGTCTAACTCTTTATCTATTCATTCCAGCAATGCCAATAACATAGTTTTATGTCAACATCTGAGTATAGGTTCACTGGTAGTAAAAGTTCAGAACAAGCAGTAATGATTTGTAGGACCTATCAGATTTAATCTTTCCTCAGTATAAAAGATGATTTGTAAATGGTTACTGCCAGTTATTGTCCCTTGCATATTGCATGTTGACCTATTGAGTAAGGTCTTATATTGTAGTGAAATATCATATCTAAGGCCTGATTACAAAAGACAGAGTAAATGGCAGTTTATAGTTCCCATGCTTGTAGGTTACAAAGCAATGCATCCACTAACAATTAATCTAAATCAAGTTAATAAATTGAGCACTTGACATGTACAGTATTTTTTACTAAATTGCATATAAATATCATGATTTTTTTTACATACACTGTATTTTTCGAACAGCAAATGGTGGGGGAGATGTGTAAAGGGCTTCAGAGGGCTTCCATGCCGTGTTTTTTAGCAGACACATGCAATGCATAAATGTGCTTACACATTTTCCCCAGAAATGCATAATTTACAATTAAAATTGCATAACTGTTTTAATAATTAAAACTTAACTCCAGCCAAGCAGAGACATATACATAGAATGTGAGCAAATAGCTGGGGATCCCGGGGATTTAATTGACCATTACAGTAAATTATGTCATCCAGGATCCCCCCTCTGTTTGCATTCTGTCAGCTGGGGATCTGTCATTTACAGGATAAGGAGCACGGTGGGGAAACATTGTCAGGCTGCAGTAGATCGTGATTGATGAGGATTTACATTGCCGGACAATGTGATTGACAATGGATTTAATTGTACTTTTATGTAGAAGGTGCCCTGCAAGGGACCTTGTTCCATTATTCAGGGAGAGGGGCCTCTTCCTCACATCCGGGCCCTCTAAAAAAAAAAAGAGGAGATATGTAGGTGGGGACTTTAGAATAAGCCCTCTCTGTCTTCTCCAAGGGGAATGAGTACAAGGGTACATTAGTACCACTTATTTCACATTCCTAGAAAGATTAATATGTATTTAAAAAACACCAAAACTGTAAAAACACGCAAACACTGCATGTGGAGCTGGGCACTGCTATAGCCGACATGTGCCAATTCAAACGACAATTTCAAAAAATACTGTTCAGCAGAGACTTTGAAGGTGGCATGTGAAAAACACCAATCCTTTCTAATGCATGTTCAGGAGATGCCTTTAAAGCCCCTTTCCACCTTTGCAGAGGTATTTTTTTTTTTAAATATGTCGGCAATCTAAATCAAGTGTACATGAAGCAAGCATTTGCAGCTGATGTATATGAACTTAGAAACATAAATGTTTTTGTTAGCTTTCCTCTTCAACTCCGCTTGGAAATTTTTGCCTCTGTGCTGTGCAAGCAATGTGAAAATATCCCCCACCACCACCCCCTGGTCATTGTATTGTGTGTAAAGGCAGAGCTAGTGGTTACTGATCGTGTTACAATGGGTGACAGGGAGGGGGGCAGCTGATAACTGTCTGACACCCTGATGTCTGACTGAATTTCCTGTGGAGAAAATTATTTTGTCTTTTTAGGCTTCAGGCCTAATAAAACTTTCATTTAAAAAATGAAGAAAGCCTGCAACGTGAGCCATGAAAATGTGCACATGTATACATAATCACTGCACCTCTTCATTACCACAGTTAATGCAATGCACTTACAAAGGTGGAAATGGGCTTTAAGCTGTATGCAGTGTTACAGAACAATACAATACTTATGGACAGCGTCAGAGACACCGTATTCTGGCATCACATATTGTGCATATGTTATTGATTTACATTATTCCTTGGCTTTAATACAGCATAACACCCAAATCTGAATTATTTCAACTTGACAAAATGGTCTTTCATGTAGTTTTGGCTGCAACACCTGATATTTTATTTAGCAGTAATAGACTGAGTGCTGGTAGTAGAAGTCACAACAGATCTTAAACCTACTGTATATTAAGGTTTACTCTTCCAAAAAAAAAAAAAAAGCCAACACCCTCAACTTCACATCAATTGGCCAGCTTTATAATATAGCTTGTGAACCTTTTCGCAGTTCCACACTGCATTGTCTTTAAGCTTAATAAAAACAAAGGGGGTTATTCCCTTAGCTGCCAAAGGCAGCCGAGTGACTAACCGAGCCGAAGTGAAGTGAGCCGAACTCTGTTCGGCTATTCACTTCAGCCTTGTACTGCTGATTTCAGCTGTACATCAGCTAAAATCAGCCGTACATCGGCTGCCTTCGGTCAGCCGAACATGCTCTGCATGTTCTGCTGAGCCAAAGTGCAGAAGGAGTGCGACCCAGCTGATCCAACATCTGGATCGCTGAGCCAAAGCTCCAGCAGCTCACTCGCTGCCGTTCGCCCCTATTCTCATAGGGGCGAACGGCAGTGAGCGAATAGGCGGATGCTGCCGAGCGGCATTCAGCTCGGCTATTTTGCTCGCTACCTCCGAGAAGAATAGAAAAATGTAAATAACTTTAAAACAAGTTTTAAACGTATTTAAAAAATGTTTTAAAATAGGAAAATTAAAAAAGTTAAGAAAATAATAAAAATATTTTAAAGAAAAGAAAAAAAAACGATGCATGCTGACCCAACCGCACGCGACAAACTCCCGCCACATAATGTTGAATCTGACAGATGCTGGCAAAATATAAACACTTGGGTGCAGCTAGCAGTGACATCAGCCCTAGCTCCACCAAACTGTTTCCTATTGGCCGGCACCTGCCAGAGTCTTCTAGCAGGTCCCGGACAAAATATAAGGCTGGTAGGCTGCATTCAGCAGTCAGCTTTTAACAAAAAAAACAACATTAGATGGATTTATTTTACATAAAAAGACAGATAATTATTGCATAGACTTTTTGTAGTCCCCATTATAAACCAGGGAGACAACAGCCAGATTTTAATAAAAAATAAAAAAAATCAACATTAGAGTGTATTTATTTAATAGAAAAGGAACAACAAAATATTGCAAGGAGTCCATGAACAGTATTTAAGCAGTTTAATGCTTTTTACGTTTACTAGACACTTTTTTCATAGTGAGAAACCTGGCAGCTTTTAATAAAGCATTAGTATTAGAGTGCAATCATTTCACACAAAAAAGCCAGCAAACTATTGTACTGATTCCATACACAGTATTTAAGCACTTTTAGTAGCCTGCATTTTGAACAGGAGATACAACAGGCAGCTATTAATACTAAACAAAATCAACATTAGAATATATTATTTAATTAAAAAAGCAAGCAAAATATTGTTCTGACTCGATACACAGTTCAACAGGGAGAGGTCAGACAGGTTTTACTCAAGAAATCACAATCACAGTGCACCATTTCGCGGTTAATCACACAGTACAGCAGGTACGTTGTGTTGTCATTCATTTGAATGGCACCCCAACGTACCTCCCAATTGCAGTGTGCTGCAGTGCAATGAAGTACCGCAATAACGTTGCATTGCTGTGAGTTTTTTTCTGCCAGTAAGTGACATGGCCACCTTTTATACATCGCTCTAAGTTTTTTATTCCTCTGGCAGGTAAAGCAGGTAGACATTCTTAATGTGTGCACAGTAAAATCTGCAAA